GTTGACAAGGATGGCATCCGCCCTGACCCCCAGAAGACTGCAGCAGTTGAGGCGTTCAATGCACCGCGTTCCGTCAAGGAGCTTCGTAGTTTCCTGGGGCCTTGTTCATACTTCCGCCGCTTTATTCCGAAGTTTGCCGACATTGCGTACCCTCTCACATGCCTCTTACGAAAGGACAATTCTTTTGAGTGGACTCCGGAGTGCGATTCTTCATTCCGCCAATTGAAGTTTTTGTTGACGTCACGACCCGTCCTTCAGCACTTCAGTCCTTCTGCTCTGACAGAGCTTCATACGGATGCTAGCGGCATAGGTATTGGAGCCGTCCTAGTACAATGTTACGGCGACCGCGAACACGTCATCGCATACGCAAGTCGCTCCCTAAGCAGGCCGGAACAAAACTACACTGTTACCGAACAAGAATGCCTGGCGGTATTATTTGCAATTCAGCGGTTTAGGTCTTACCTGTACGGACGCCCATTCACAGTCGTAACCGACCACCACTCGTTATGTTGGCTTGTCAACCTTCGTGACCCTTGTGGCCGCCTTGCGCGCTGGGCACTCCGGCTACAAGAATACAGTTTTACCGTCGCTTACAAGAGTGGTCGTCGACATGCTGACGCGGACTGTCTTTCACGTATGCCACTTAGCACAACAGATTGTGAATCCGATGACCTTGACCAGCTTGTAGCGTCTGTGTCGCCTACGTTCCCAGACTATCCCACTTTCAGAGCAGAACAGCGGAAAGATGCTAAACTAGCACCACTATTCACCGCTGCATCCGCTTCCACTAGTGCACGCCGTTTCTGTATGCGTGATGGACTGTTGTTCAAAAGGAACCTCTCCAGCAGTGGCGCGCGTTTCCTTCTAGTGGTCTTGGAGAGCCTGCGAACAGTTATTATGAGTGTCATGCACGACGACCCTACATCTGGACATTTAGGTTTGGCGCGGACGCTTCACCGGACTAAAGAGCGCTTTTATTGGCCTGGTATGCAGAAGTCTGTTGAGAGTTATGTGGCAAGCTGCATGCAATGTCAGCGTCAAAAAACGTCTATCAACTGGTCCAGCTGGTCTTCTACAGCCGATGCCTACTCCAAGCGCACCTTTCGAACAAGTGGGCATTGACTTTCTGGGCCCCTTCCCAAAATCGGCTAAGGGCAACCGGTGGATAATTGTTTGCGTCGACTACCACATACGCTACTGCGAGACGGCAGCCGTTCCCTCCTCAACTGCCAGTGAAGTCTCGTCGTTTTTGTTACAGTACGTCATCCTCCGACATGGCCCACCTCACCTGATTATCAGTGATCGTGGACGACAATTCACAGCGGATGTCGTGGAGGAGCTACTCCGTTTATGTGAATCCCGCCTGCGTCACTCGACACCATACCACCCCCAAACTAATGGGCTGACGGAGCGTACCAACCGCACCATTATCAACATGTTGTCTATGTATGTCTCATGCGACCACAAGAACTGGGATGGCGTACTCCCGTTCATTACTTACGCGTTCAACACCGCGAAGCATGAGATTACATGGCTATAGCCCTTTCTTTTTGCTTTATGCACGTTCGCCCAGGCACCCAATCGACACAATATTGCCTTTCTGTGACCACGACAACGTCACTGTCGCCGAGACTCTCTGCCTCGCCGAAGAGGCGCATCGCATAGCTCAACTACGCACATTGGCATCGCAAGACAAAGCGAAGGCACGCTATGACATTCACCATCGACCAGTGATTTATCGCCGTGGTGATCTGGTGTGGTTGTGGACTCCGATGCGCAAGCACGGGTTATGCCAAAAGTTTTTGGCCACTTACGATGGACCTTTTGTCATCGTCGACAGACTTACAGAGGTCAACTATGTAATAGCTCGTCTCACGGCGAGTGGTCGACGAGCTGCCAAAACTCAATTGGTTCATGTTGCGCGCCTGAAACTGTACACGCCACGACAACTTGACTGACTCGTCCGGCGGCCTTCGTCTGCGCGGAGAGGAATGTTGCGTACATGCACGAAGAAAAAGAAGCGTATACGGTGAACGCACTGGTGGCACAGAGCGAGAGAGGAAAAAGAGGATCAGGAGGATCTTTAACCAGTCGGCCGCTTCTAAGCTGCCTCTCACGACCTAATAAACGGCCCCTTGCAACGTCTACCAGTCTCTTTCAAACGTAACAATATGATTATGAGAGACGCCGTAGTGGAGAGCTCCAGAAATTTCTACCTATCGGCCTATAACTTAAAACCGAGCACAGGTTTTTTTTTCTCTGCTTCAGAATAGAAGTGTGGCAGTTTGGCCTAGTTGGTATGACATGAGGATAGTTATAGCGCGACAACAGTCGTCGTGCTGTTCTCGCGCTCTAACTATTATCAGAATAGAAATTATGATTGCCTCTTTCCAAGCATAAGGAATTTTTTCACAGCACCATATAACATTTTAAAGTGAAAGCCGGGTTTTTTGAGTCTCAAGAGGCAGGTGTTTCAACATATCATACATTATACAGTGAGAACTGGGAGCAGATTTGTTGCAGCAGTTTAGCGCAGCAACACCAACTCTATGCAGAATGGTTGATTATATGACTCATTTCTTGCATGTTTCTTTTCTAGTTTCTCTTTTTCTATTCATGTTGTGTAACTTCAGAATGTATCAGAGTAATGCGAAGAGCTGGATATGCATTCAAAATACACTCCAAGGGAGTTAACTTGGTCTTCTAAGCTTCCTCCCTTAGCATTTACTAAAGGAAGTGAATATGTTCAATGCCCTTGAATTTTTTTTCACCCTGTTCCATACTTTTTCCTTGTCAGTATACGAATTGATACTGGATATAAACTTTTGCCAACTTTCTCGTCGAGCTTGTCTGTGTGTTCTTCCCTCGAATTTAACAAGCTTAAATTGAACGAGATTCTCTACCGTTGAAGAATCGTGAAGCAGACCCCATGCTTTGTTTTGCTTCTGCTGCACTTTCCAACAGTTGTCGTTCCACCAGAGGTCACGTCCTTTCCTAACAGTGCCATTAACTTGAGGGGTGCATTTAGAAGCGGCATCAATTACAAATGCTGTAAAATAGCTAAAAGCAGCATCTATGTTTAGGCCAGACATCTCGGCCCATGTTATGTAAGTAAGAATTTGATGTTGTTCCCAATCAGCAGAGCCAACTTTTTATCGAGGAGCTTTATCGAGATGGGTGTTCCGACACTTAGCGGGACCGCGGCGCCGCCTCCACTTTGTTTCCAACAGCGGCTGCCATGAATCTTCCTGAGACAAGTTTGAAACTATTTGTCACATCCTCACGTGTTTCCACTGATACTGCTCATGGTACGACTTGTTTAGTTTTACAGCGAAAGCTGTTCTGAGATCACAACTCGGGTCATGCGCAGTTGTCTGCCGCCGCCGGTGTCCGTGACCACATGGCGCGATATTAGAAAAAAAAGAAACTAGCACCAATGACACAGTGATACTCGAACCCGGGTCCGCTGGGTGCCAGCCCAGTATTCTACCTCCGAGTTATGCCGGTGCTTGTAACTTGTAGTCAAACTTGCCTTAGGCAAGCTTGACCTAGCACTAATGACACAGTGGGCATCGAACCCGGGTCCGCTGGGTGCCAGCCCAGTGTTCTACCACTGAGCTACATCGGTGCCTGTGACTTGCTGTCTAACTTGCCATAGGCAGGCTTGATGTCGGGAAAGCAATCGTGTTAATACGACTTATAAAGCGTTTTAAAACAGCGAAAGAACAGCCAGTCGTCACACAATACGAATAGCGTGACAAGTGGGCTGTCCAATGTCCCATTCCATCACAAAAGCTTGTTCTTGTTCCCCTATTACTGTGGCACATACCCACTTCAGCCATTATTCCTCATCCTCGTCAGTCGCTGCATGAACAATTGGCACAAAATTCCTTGCAAGTGTTTAGCGGATACCACGCTTCTCAGAAGAATGACGAAAAATAGCATAGCGAATGCCAGCCTAGTGCCCAAATAAGTTTATTAATGATGACCTAGTGGGTATCAAGCAAGTGTGCTTGCCGTAGTTACCTACTGAGTTTTTCAAAAAGGCTCTGAAAGGTCACTCTTCTAGCTTTCACTGTGACTGTGCTGTGCCTTCTGCGGAGGCCTGGCATTTTTTTCATGCTGCCTTCACATATGCAATACCAATATTTTTTTTCTGGTAGATTAATTAATAAATTCAGGCACCAGACAACCTGCCACGTTGTTGTTTCTCAAGACAGTAAGAAAGAACACCCGGTCAATAGAAAGCATTTACTATTGGACAGCCAGATATTTGAATGTTCAATGACTGCAAGACTGAAACCAGTTTTTAATCGTCATAATAAGTATTTCTGCAAATAAGCCAAGTTCAATACTTCTACCATAACTACCAAAAGAAAAGCAATAACAAATTACAAAAATAAAATGAGCCCAAAATTTAAATTCCAATCTCAGACTATTTTACGAATGGGTCTCGGTGGTGCCATACTAGGCTTGCACAACTGAATGAACAGTGCTAGGGTGGATTCATATGCGTGAAGACCGTTGGAATGATGTATTTGACATTTCTTGACCTTATAAATTAAAGCTACCAAATAGAAAATAATTAAACATTTAACAACCCAAGGTGGCAGCACCCACATGTTTTACGTGTGTAATTGTCATTAGAGATTGGAAGTTGTGTAAAAGAAAGCATTATAGCACTCATTCTTGATCATCCCTCTGACAAACAAACAATGATCAACCATTTTTTCAGAATCAGTTTGAATATGTCAAGTAAAACTGCATTGCGGATAAAATACTGATTATAAAAATTTTAATGTTTTACATGTGAAACAGCTGCATTTTAAAAAAATTCAATAAAAAATTTTTGTAGTGGCTTTCTTGGTCTTTACAGCCCATGTTCCACTTTCAGCCTGCTCTTTTATTACTTAATTTAATAAAAGCTTATACCATCTCCTGCATGCAGAACACATAGTACAGAGATACTACTAAAAGACTTCAGTAAAAGTTCATCCTACCTTGTGATGTGGGTAGTGTAGGTTGACTTAACAATTCCTGCAACTTCCTTTCGAGATTTTCCTTTTCTTCAGATATTTGTGCCAACTTGAAAAATAAAACAATATTAAATATCCATCTGAAGCCAGTACACAAAAAGCCTAACACATTTATCAAATACAAACCACTACATTACGGCAAGTTACTATGCCCTCAGCAAAATATAATGATGAGCTAGTTGGTCATAACTACTTTTTTTAGCACAAACAAGATGACGCAGGTGCCTTTACCTGCTTCGCTTATAGCTTTGTCTTGTTTGCACTAAAAAGGGTAGCACAGCGTGCAACTACTTTTACACAAATGATATTTTCAATTTGCAATTCACCAGCAGAAAAAACAAACTCTTTCAGATCACAATTAAGCATAAAAGCATCAAATGTCATACCAGGCTGTATTGAGGTGGGAAAAAAACATGATCAATGACTAGAATATTTAATAGTCTGTGGGTGTGTAGTGTATAGCTGCAATTTACTTAATTTTTTTATCTTTGTGCCTAATTAAGACCAACATTCTCTTAAAACACCAAACACAATTTAAACCCTTAAGATGCTTTGTACACAATTGTCAGAGGCGTAGCCAGAAATATTTTTCTGGGGGCTTGGGGGGGGGGGGGGGTTAATCATACTTAATATATGTTTATGCATAGTTTATATTTGTGGGTGTATAAATATGCAAGAAAAATTTTAAAATTTCAGGAAATGGGAAATTGAAATCCCCCTCCCCCTTGGCTATGCACATGACCATTGTGTACCTAACTTTTTTACGCCAGTTTTTATTTATTTATTTACAAATACTGCTGTCTCACAGTTCCAGACATTGCAGGAGTGGGTCCATAACAGTGAATACACACTAAACTAACAAAACACATGGTTTGGTAGTTCACTCAAAAAACTATTGGTAGGCAACTTTCAGAGAGAAACATCCAGATTATTCCACAATTCCACTGTGAAAGGAAAAAATGAAAACTTAAAACAATCTAGAAATGGCATGAAGGGTGGGATGTTAATGGGGTTTGACCTGCGAGTGTTTGCAACGGAGTTGGCAAAGGAAAAGGGCATGTCAATGGTGATTATTTTGTTCACGATTTTATGTAAAGTGCCGATACGCTCGCAAGTACGTCTGTGTTCAAGTGATTTGAGTGATAGACGTACAGCGTGTGACGAAGGCGAAAAATTGTGATCATAACGGTGATATATGAATCTTATTGCTTTTTTTTGAACACCTTCCAAGTGTGCTATGTCGCATGCGCAGTGAGGTGACCAGACAACGGAGGCGTATTCAAGAACAGGCCGTATCAGGGATTTGTATGCTGTTAGTTTGCATTCGTGAGTTGCATCTTTTAACGTTCGCTTCAAGAAGCCCAATTTTCGGAGCACTTTCGAGCAGATTAGGTTTCATATGTTTATGCCATTTTAAGTTCGGTGAGAATGTTACGCCAAGATACTTGTATTCGTTGACATGCTTCATGTTCTGGCCATAGGAAAAACGTAGGGGTTCCTTCTTGTTTGTGAATGTCATGCTTACTGTTTTGTTAAGGTTTAGTGCCATTTGCCACGTTGAGCTCCAGGTACGGAAAGAAGAAAAAACATTATTTAACTGTATTTGGTCACGGGAGGTACTAATACAAGAATAGAGGACACAGTCATCGGCGTATAGACGGAGTTTGACCTTTGTATTTTTTGTTATTTCGACAACATCATTGAGATAAATTAGGAAAAGAAGAGGCCCAAGGACCGAGCCCTGCGGCACACCTGATGTGACAGGGAGGGATGACGAATGCGAACTGTTAAACGCGACAAACTGCTGCCTTAAATTTAGGTAATCTGAAAGCCAAGATAACAAGCGAATGCCGTGAGTGCCGCGCAGAAAGGCTTTTAATTTGAGGAGGAGTTTATTGTGGCAAACAGTATCAAACGCTTTCGAGTAGTCAATAAAATGGCGTCCACTTGACCGCGATCGTTTAAAGTCGAAGCGATGTCATGCGTAAACCCCAGCAACTGCGTGACTGTTGAAAATCCTGCACGAAAGCCATGTTGATTTTGGGAGAGGAGGTTGTTTTCAGTTAAATATGTGACTACATGTTTGTGAATAATGTGTTCTAGAATTTTACAGCAGGTGCAGATTAATGAAATAGGTCGATAGTTTGGAATTACTTGTTTGTCGCCAGATTTGAACACCGGAACAACTTTTGCATTTTTCCAAATCTGCAGTACAACTCCTGTTTCAAGGGATCTCTGAAAAATGACTGTTAAATACCTCGCATTCCATTCAGCGTAACGTCTTAAAAATGTGTTAGGGATGTTATCAGCGCCGGCACTCTTATTTGTGTCGATGTTCAGTAGGAGATTGACAACTCCAGCGTAACTAATCTGTAGTTCTGGGAAGGCAGGCAATGTACTGTCAAGACCGAAAGCGGGACTGGTGCCATCATCTGTACTAAACACTGATTTGAAATAACCATTGAACGCTTCCGAGATAGTTAAAGAATCCGAAGAGGGCTGCTCGTTCACAATAAGTAAGGAAGATGTCGGGCCTGCAGGATTAAGAGTTTTCCAGAATTTAGATGGGTCGTTTTTCATAAAGGTTGTTAACGAACTTTCATAGTAGAATTTGCGGGCAGCATGCATTTTTTCTCTTAGCTCTGTTTTCAGAGAGTTCAATAAGTGCTGGTTATTTAGGAGAGTGTTACGATGCCTTCGAAGTCGCCGAGTAAGCTGAATAATTTCTCTGTTTAGCCAAGGATGCCGAGGGTTTCGTTTTAGGCACTTCTGTGGGACATATGTGTGTATGCAGTGTTCAACAATCTTATAAAACTGATCAACTAATAAGTCCACATGACATCGGTTGCTATTGAACGATAAATCATCAAAAGACGCTGCTAGAACTGCAAGAATTGAATTGTCGTCCGCGTGGGTAAAATCCAGAACCGTTTTGTACGTCGGAAGTTTGGGTTCACAGGCAACATTCAAGCTAAGAAGGACTGCCTTGTGGTCAGATACCCCATTCAGTGCTTCACATTCAAATCCATTCTGCTGTACAGCCTCATTCAAAAATACAAGGTCTAAAATTGCATTTTCCCGCGTAGGAACATCGACTACTTGGGTAAGATCAAACGACACAACAAGGTCAACTAAAGCTTCACTGAGTGCCCTATCGCGACCAGTGGGTAAGAGTAAATTCCAGTCAACATGCGGTACATTAAAATCACCACATAAAATCAGTTTAAATTTGTGAAGCCTGTTTTTCAATATATAATCACTAATAGCAGGAAAAACAACGTGGTCAGTACCAGGAGGCCGGTATATTACGCCTAATACGGTTATTTTCCCCCCAACGCTGATTTTGCACCATAAAGATTCTGACTTGGGAAGGTCGGGTAATGGATAGAACTTCAAACTATTCTTTAAGAAGATGGCGACACCGCCACCGCGGCTGTCCTCTCTGTCTTTACGTAGCACCGAGAAACCCGGGGGTAGGTTGTGTTCAATAATGGCTTAACAGACAGATACATTGATCTTGGATGGATTGAACCTTCTGCATAATGAATGTGTATTCATTTAACTTAATATTGCAGTCTACTATTGAATATAGTCACTTCGCTGAAGGCACTACCATGTTTGACAAGCAAATCGATGTGCTGGTTCGTGCGAGCCGCTACAAGAGTAAAAAATTGCTTTTGCTCAAAATGACTATAACCGGAAACAATATCGCCCTGCACTTGAAGTCTGAGATTTGATTCTATTTAAGTAAAAATAGAGCATGACTGACTTTGGGTTAAATAGATACTTAACATTAATTTAATTAGAAATAATTACAATAACTCATATAAATCAACATGTTATGACTTTATTTTTGTTAAAATCAGAGCCTTGAAAGAGCCTATCGAGAGCCTTGAAATAATGTTGAGTCATTCTTATGTATTTACAAACAGTTCTTCATAAGTAGCATTTGAAAGTGTTAAGTAAAAAAATAATGAAGCTAAAATGACTAGTTGCTTCATTCAATTGTAAATTTTTAAAAATACAGATTTTTGCTCCCCTGATCATTCAAAGAAATATATTTGTACATTAATTTCATAGCTTACAAGTCAAACGTGATAGAATATATTGATCATTAATAATAGGAGGCACCATTGTTAGCAACCCCAAAAGTTGCACTGGAATGCTTTCTCAAAATCTTAACATTGCCTTTTGCTGATGTTCCAAGCCTTATCTATGAGTGCCCACATGTTCAAACTTTTTTTATAAATTGCTAACGAAAATTGCCTTCAACATCATAAAAAGCTCCCTGACCACTATAGCAGGCTAGTTAAAAGCAAGCACCACTTTCATTTTTTTTGGCAGTATAGACACCCCCTCCACCCACCCTTTTTTTTGCTAGTGAGAGAAAAACTGGGTTGAAATAAAAGATCTGTATAAACATTCCACAGCTCAGTTAAATCGGTAAAGCCTCTTGTTACCCAAATGAAAATTTCGCTTCAACCAGTTTGTAATATCCAAGGTACCGGTCTTTAAATTCCACAGACGTCCAAAAGTAACAACTCACGCAATAGCAAGTAACCAATGGTTTATTAGAGCAACATAATGTATGAAAATAGAAGGAATGGCCAGTTAAAGATGGCAGAGAACTGGGTGGTTTGATGAAATTAGGAAAACTGCAGATATAAGATGGTATCATTTTGTGTATTTGGTGATTGTTAGGGGTGGTCCTTACCCTGCAAGGGAATTAAAGGGCACTGACATTAAATGTAAAAAACAAGATGTGCCCTTCATTCGATCAGTCGGTATCCATAGGTCTTCTTGATGAAATTCGAATCGCATCCATCGCGTAAAAGTTATTTCATTTCGACGGCAAACAGTGTATGAAAAGAAATGAAAAATTGAATGCCCTGCGATATCAACACAAGTGCCACGTGTTCGGTGTGATACTTTCTACTTATACCATTTTGAGTGACGATGCACTGGTAGCACTGACGTCTACAATCCGAGCCTTGTTATCGTGGCGCAGACTGACGTTGACGCCTGGAAGTGTTGTCACTCTTCATGTCTAACCTTTGTCCTACCGCTTTGAATGATTTCATGACATTACTAGACACAAACCACCAATAAAAGAAAGGCGAAAGAAAAGAGCGTGATTCAACGTGTGCTCATCAGTCAGCGTGTCGGGGAACCGTTGTGAGCTGCAGTCATCTGGTTGGAAGCATGGAAAAAGTCCATTGAGTGTGTTGTTAGATTCCGCATATGTTACACGCCAACACGACCCCAAACCATCGAAGTGAAGTAGCGTACAGATAAATATCATTGCTAGCAAGTAACACACAGGTGTCGTTTATACTGAATTAAGATTATCCATAGACTTCTTTGCATTCTCGTAATACCAGGTTATTGCCCCTGTAACGGTGAGAGGCCGGACAGGTGGGACCATCTGGAAGTGCTAAGGTGCTATAACCTGGCAAGCACAGACTTATTATTGTGGAAACCTAATGTATTCTATTTCTACGCTGGTGTGCATTCCCTATACCGATATTTTATAGACCGCTTTGCATATTCCATAATCACATGAACGAGTATGGCCGCTCTTGTTGCTGCTTGGAACGGCGTTCATTTTGGAATCGCTATTCTGCAAAGGGTCCATCAAAGCAAAAATAATTCATGATATCGGGAATCGCGAAGATTCCAAGCTCCAGACTGCCGTATTCAACACTAGTCAGCACTTTTTACGGTGAAGACGGTGATTCTAGTAATAAAGCATGACTAAATGTCTGCGCTTAGCAAACGAAATGTTAGGGGAGCAGCTGAATCTCACATCACTCCTTTCTGTAGAGAAGTGGTTAGCTTGGGCGCGATCTAGAGCTGACTGCGAGAAATGATGATGATTTGTGGGGTTTAACGTCCCAAAACCACGATATGATTATGAGAGACGCTGACTGCGAGAAAGTGCTGCGAGCGCTAAAGATGGCAAGCTTGCCGGGCATTATGAATCATGTTAGATACCAGTATGATATAAATGAATAAAATAGATGGTTATTTTTCCATAAGTGTCGTTTTGGGTCTCAAATCACTAATAGAGGGTTAATAACTACTTGTAGATGCAAAAATCTTGACATGAGTAAATTTGATGTCAGTGCTTCTTTAAAACAATGATCCTGAAACCTGTATCTGAAGAAAGCTGCATGCCGATTCAGCTGCCAGACCTCAAAATTATCAGACCTAACATTTTATTTTGTAAAAAACTAAGTTAGTATACATATACACAAGCACACAAAGCAAATGAGCATAATTTTGAGCATTAATATTATAAATGAATCTGACAATAGGAATGTGCTTTTTTTCTACTGTCACAATCAAAGCCCCTGTTACAAATTACATAAGCTTCATAGAATTTGTACTGTTTTCTTTAGATTACGCACAAGCTTCAGCTTTAGCACAAGCTAGCACTAATCAACTGCAGAGTTTTGATTTAACAAAGTTTGCATTTTCGTTCGTTTATGCTCCACCTTTAAAAAAAACACACCCACCTACAAACCCATTCACCCACCCACCCACCCACACCCACACCCACACCCACACACACCCACACACACACAAGCCCAAGGTTGCAAGCTCAGTTCTCACTTTAGTTTTGTGCACTTCAAGTTGCTGTGAAACATTATCCACGTAAGTCTGGTAATGGGATGCCATTTGCTGCTTTTCAGCTGTAATCTGCTCAACAGCATCTTTGTACTGAAAAAAAAGAAAAAAGAAAAAGACATAATGCTAACAATGCAATATATAGACTAATAATTATTAAGTTTATCAAGGACTATCATTTTGTAGATGCAAAAAAAGTGCTATTTGACATAATTAAAAAGGCAATCGAAGTTACATCCTTGTTCTTAAAATTAAAAACCTGACCCTTGCATTCTTTTATATTGGATTCAGACTTAATATATCATAATCAGTGTTATTCATTCATTCCGTATGCGCACAGAACAGACATACGGTAACATTGAAAGATAGATATGTCGAATTTAAAGTCCCAAAACCACCATATGATTTTGAGAGGCACCGTAGAGGAGGGCTCTGGAAATTTTAACCACCTGGGGTTCGTTACTGCGCACCCAAATCTGATCACACGAGCCTGCAGCATTTTCGCCTCCATAGAAAATGCAGCCACCGCAGCTGGGCTTTGATCCTGCAACCTGCGGGTAAGCAGCCGAGTAGCTTAGCCACTAGACCATTGCGGCGGCGGATAACGTTAAAAGGGTTTTCATATAAGATCACCAGGTGGCACAGCTGTGTTTACTAATGCATTGTTCAGGTTGCTGGCATTCACAGTTGCACACAAAGTGAGTGGCATGACAGCAACAAATTCCAACTAGTGAGTTAAAAGGGCAGAGTGGTCTTTGGGACCAAAAAGTGGCAAAAAAATGCATTTCTTTAAATTGGCATACTTGGTTTTTGCAAGTATTTTTCTATCTCTATGCAAATTTTCACCCACCAGGAAGTGGTAATTTTTTTGTAATGTCATTCTAACTCTTGAAATTCTTGATGCTAGCACAACGCAGAACCTGCAAAAAATGGGGAACCTATTTCGAGCGTTCCTTATAATTAGCCAAGACCTGTGTTTGAAGCTCTACTACTAATTAATGAGCACCTTTATGAGCATTGCAAAACATGAACACCGCGATTCGTGCTTTCTGAAGAAACTGGGTGTTATCAGTTTTTTTTTTTTTTCATTTTTCTCAGAAAAGTAAATTTACGACTGTTCGATTTTGAGGTCCAAATATCTATGCTACTAGGGCAGGCACAATAATAATTCTTTTTGCAATAGAAACCTGTATGTGAATAGAATGCAAGTATGGGAGCAGAATTTAGAGCACAAGCCTTTTTTTATTAAGTACTCATCAAAATTATAACTCAATTAAAACTGCTTTTGAAAAATGGAAAGTTAATTTTACTGTAAAATAAACAAGAAAGGCCAAAAAAACAAAAAACTTTTGCATAATTTCAATCTCTAATTATTAGTCTATACTGTCATATCTTAAATATCACTTCTAATTAAGCAATTTTTTTCTATGGTGGCCTTAAACAATAGGGGGTGAACTTAAGTTATCTCGGGAACAAAATGAGTTACAGAAAAAATAATTAAATATTTGAAATCAGCAGAAAAAAACTACATAAGCCGGTGCACTTTGATCAAGATCACTGAATAAATAAACGAAAAATGTTAAAGGTGAGTCTGCCCCCTTAACTGAATTCTGCATCAGATTAGGAAAAGCTTGGTGGGGCAAGAAATATGGGTCAACAAGTTCTGTTAAGGATCTCAAAACTGATGACTGCCATCATCAAGTGAATTGAGAATGTTTAAAAACACAACAAATACAGACACAATAAACCTATCAGACGTAATGAAGTAAATCTGACGGCACCAGTGTTCTGACACGAAAATTAGAGCAACAGAAGTTTGAGTTGCTTGAGCATCATGGGCACAAATGACAGCTTGCTTTAGATAACGCCACCTTGCTTTGTGCTTTGGTATTATATGTTGCTGATAGAGAGAACCTAGTCGTTTTTAGGCCATCAGAAGAGAAAAAGCGATAAATAAGCGCAAGGCACTCACTGCAAAATTTGTGGCAGGTTTTCGTAGCATAATATGGCCCTTGCACTTAACAGGGTTTATGTTTCACAGTTAAGTATTTCCCTATCTCATTCATCCTCTGAGCACAGTATTCACGAGCAAGCGGATTTCATCTGCCACCAAAACAGCACTAGTGTAATGTGAGTGCCTGCAGAATAGAGTGGCTGCTAGCGTAGATTTGTCAAGCAGCAGATCGCAAGACAAAGTTTGTTGTACCATACTAACTGGCTGTGCATTGGTTCTTAAGGAGTTGCTTTTTGTGATTACATTGCGGACAATTACATTGAACAACTAATACTCTATTTTCAGCCCATAACGAATGGTGCAGCTGCAAGGCTGACTTGGTCAGAGGTGACATATTACAACTAGCTAACAACCAAAATAATGAAGCCTTTTTTTACACAAAATGCTAGATGAGGTCCTTGAGTTTAATCAGTTGAATTTTTTAATATAAAGATGACCTTCTTGAGAAAAATATTTTCACACTTCAGTGTTTTTGGTAAACCACTAACATTTTATCACAATCATACAGGAAAACAAAGCACGATAAAATCACGAAAAATATCTAAAAAGAAATTGAAAGTATCGAAGTTAGTATGTACTGAGTTTCATTATCCTCAGTTCAAGTTGTGCGTAGCAATAAATTACTGAAATACAGGTATCTTTGTGCGGTTTGTCATGCTTGTGATTTTTTTCCCAAAAACTTTTCCACTAGTAAGATATAGAATTGCCTCACAGCATTTTCTATTCCTTGTTCTTTAAGGAGCATATATACTGTGATTGAGAAGTGCATTGTTTTTCATTTATGTGCGCTCAAATTTCATAAATCTTGAAACTTGCGGGAAAGCATTTTTTACCACGAAAAGTAATACACATTTTTCTCAGCCAAACAAAATGTTTTAGCAAAACAAACTTTGAAACCATTGTCCTAGTGCTAATGCTTTAAGTTCACAGTTAATTTCATCAAAACCGGAAATAGTGACTAGGACCTCGTGTTCGATCTTATCTGGACACACACTCCGCCTAAATCTTAGTACACAGATGCTCTTCCACTTTTCCCACAGTGCGTTGGTAGGCTAGTTGGTTATTCATGCTACACTTGAACAGCAAGGCTGAAGGTGGACAAAGAACAACATATGCATGCCCCCCCCCCCCCCCCTCACACAAACATGCATGCACGCACAGCATTGTGTTTGTGTTCTTTGTCTGTATTCAGTTGCGGTGTTCAAAAGTAGCACTTTTTCCTCAGTGAAATGTAGCTACAGTTGCCGGGGCTCAAACCCCTGCTCTAGAGCAGCAGTCCGAAACACGCTGCCCGTGAACCTTTCGATAGCGGCCCACGGCTTCACATGGAATAATGTTTTGTGAATTTGCTAAGTAGTACTAGAATCACTTTCTCACTAATGCAATTATTTGCACTTTTTTCGTGTAAGCTACAGAGACAGAACTGGTCTCAAGCCCTTTTTACGAAAGCACACCATCATGTCACTATGAGTTGAAACATCACTGCCAAACAAAAACTCTATACAGTTGAGCCCACATATAACGGCCCCACTTAATACGAACAATATTCGCGTGACCGTGAAAATATTGCTACGGGGTACCACAAATGAACATTATAGGAAAGAGGACGATGTTTCGAGCGAGTTTGTGCAGACTATGTTCCATTTTGTATGTGTGCTTGTTAAATCGATAGTAAGCATATTTCTCCGACGCCTTTTCCCCGTAACATTTGTGTGGAGAGTGCGGGTCCTCTCAGAATCAACATCCATGACGATTCTATATAGTGGGCGTTCCTTGGCTGTCTCTACGATGGCTGATCACAATGAGAACGAGGATTCGTCGGTACCTTCCCCAAGCGTGCCTCACCATACCGCGCAGCGTCCAACAACGTCGCATCCGGCCGTCACAAACCGCACCGTCATTCTGACGACTCCACATGACCCAGACACCTTTTCTGGCAACGATGACAAGGATGTCGAAAAATGGCTTCAGCTATACGAATGGGTGAGTGCACTGTACAACTGTGACCCGACGCTCATGTTGGCCAATATTCTATTTTACCTTGAGGGCACGGCCAAAGTCTGGTTTTCCAACTATGAGGAAGAAATCACGAGTCGGGATATTTGCAAACACAAACTAATCGGTCTCTTTGGCAAGCCCATTGGACGTCATCGTTCAGTGCAGAAAGAACTCGTGTGCTGACCGCAGTCCTGCACGAAGTCATACGTGACACACATTCAGGATAGGCTCGCCCTCTGCCGCACGGTTGACGACAAAATGCCAAAATCCAAAAAAGTCGCGCACATCCTCAAAGAAATCGCGGATGATGCCTTCACTCTTCTTGTGTTCTGCAACTCTTCGACAGTGGATGACGTCATTAACGAATGCCGACGCTTTGAAAAAGCGAAAAGTCGTCGTATTACTCCCCAATTTTCGCGTCTTTCCAACACAGCTGCCACGTCTACCTGCGAAGACGCCCGTCTCCTTTCAACCCCTGCTGTTTCCGACAATATAGTGTGCATCGTGCGCCACGAAATCGAGGCAGCATCTCCCCTGTCTGACCAAGTCCGGGCCCCCGATGACTCTCGCGCCACGATTTCTTTGATCAAGAGTGTTGTGCGGCAGGAACTGGCCAACGCCGGGCTTCAGACGCTATGCCCCGTTAGCCGACCTGACTACCGACTGCCCAGTACACCTAATATGTCCCGCGGACCGAACAATCGCCCACGTTACCGGAACTTGGCAGAATGGCGAACTTCCAATGACAGGCCGATCTGCTTCAACTGTGGACGAGTCGGCCATATTTCACGTCATTGCCGCACTTCCTGGGATTGGCAGCCATGGTTGCATAATGCCAACACTCGACGCCCGACTGCTCGTTCTCGGATGCCGATCTACGCGAAACAAGACGATGCTTCGCCATCCAGGACCGCCCAACCGAACCGCTCCCCGTCGCTCTCTGGACGCATGTCCCACTCAACTAACCGACGTCGCTCCCCCTCACCCTCCTAATGCCAGTCCTCGGGAAACTGATGGGCGCAGCTCCTAGAGGTGAGCCTGCTTCAACGACCCGACCCGAAATTCCTCTACACACGATACT